CCTCCGGATATGGTCTAGATCTACATCACGTGACTGATTCAGTTTTTATTGGGTAAAGTTAATGGCCATGTTGATTGGCTATGTGTTTGGTGTGGGATGGTTAGTGTGGGGTCACTTTAACAGATCAATACAAAAGGGGCGAAAAAAAAAATCTGCATGTCACAAAAAAGCCTGACAGCGATCCTAAGTAAACGATCAGAGGCGTAGCGACCCTCCCGGCGCCCGGGGACAAACTTTCAATTTGGCGCCACCCCCACCCCACTTCCATATATTTTTTATATTTATAATTCAAAGCTGCAGCTAAAATGAGCTTTTAATTTTTTTCCAACCCATTTTGTACCCCCCCCCCCCCGTCGCTACACCTCTGTAAACAACCCAATGAAATCCACCCCGCCATATTAGTCTGCAAGAAAGGTGTAACAGTTAAATGTAGATGAATGTATGTTTCGAGTGTGCATCTCAAAAAGGCAATATGAATATAAAATATAGGATGGGTGTGCGCATGCGCTGAGGAAAGGAAGCAGAGAGAGGTAGATAGTGCGCGAGGAGATGACGAAACTGAAGTCGTGGTTCTAGTAGTGTAGCTGCTATATTATCTGATATCAATAAAAGACTGTAAAATCACCAATAATGTGGTTTGTATTTGCCTTTAGTTTGTGCCATGAACCCAGTCATACAAAAAGGTTGTGACAAAAGGTACCACAGGTACGGGCAGATGAGGCTCGTTAGCTGAGGATGTCAACCTATCTAGGAAAAAAAATCAATCCACCTCTGTCTTGCAGAGTGTTCTCGTGTGGACAAAGACCATGAAAAAAATACCGGAAACAAACCACGCAAGTCGGAGTCAAGGGCCACATTGCGCAAAAAATGGACACGTATTACTTTATTGTGTTGGAGGAGATCCTACCTCAAACAATATGGATCCAGTCTAATGGGCCTACGACTAAACTGTTCTCGTTAATATACCTACGACAAATAATCTTTTAGATGTCACAAAGCCATTGGTCAGTCTTCGACCAAATAGATATCAGAAGGTCGTCCACTGATTGTTTTACTCATTAACCTCATTGTCTTAATGTAGTCCATGATCGCGTGGACGATACGAAGTCACACAGAGCTACTTTAATTAGGGAATTGATTACCACACAAACCAATCCTTGACATCTCTACATTCATTCAAATGTCAACAAAAGGAAGTTACCCTCCCACTGGAAATTCCCGATACACAATCGGGTATTCCCAGCTTTTCAAGACATTTCGTCTGGCCCACCAATTTTCCTTCCTCGGCGTGACGTCACCTAAAGATCCGCTAATGCCACAATTAATCACGGATCTCCAAATATATTTTTCTAGACAACGCTAAAGTGCAGCGTAAAAATATTTTAACACTCCCAACGCCGTAAAAATAGCGCCTGAAGCAGCGATTTTAAGAATTTTTATCATGGCAGATCTCTGTATTTAACGTCTCTGCTTCTGTTTCTTTTCTCACAAGGAAAATATTTGTTTTAAAAACTGTCTCTCAAATTCCGAATTACGCCATGGCTTATATGAGCCCAGATTAAACGCCACTTGTTCACAATCCGCGTCACTGATCACTTAAATGCGCAATCGGAAAACTGCGCAGCGGAAAAATGCGCCAATAGAAAAATGCGCAAAAACAAACTAATTTTATTAATACACTTTAATTTTGTCATATTTTGATGAAATATGTTTTTATGCTACATAGTACAAGCAGTCACTCTTTGTTAATATCTATAAACGCTCGATTTAAGAAAACAAAATGCCATTGCGCACTTTTTTTTGCGCAGTTTTCCGTTGCGCAGTTTTCAGTTGCGCATCTTTCCGGTCACCAGCTCCAACAGATTGTGGACCTCACAGGCTTGAAATAAGAAGAGATCGATATCGTGATGCAACATCCGGTCTCCAGCTGACTGTGTTATTTAAAGTCAGGCGCGGTGTTATCTTGGTGCTGTCTTAAACCCTGGCCTTTTAAATTTGCATAAAACATTGCCCCATATTTCACGACGTATAGAGCAAGTATTGTAATCGTGCAAACAAGAAAAATCTCGACGTATAGAGGAAGTATTGTAATCGTGCAAACAAGAAAAATCTCGACGTTTTACATCTCACTGAGTCGGAAAAACACAGTTTTGCAATTTTGTCCGTATGTCTGTGTGTATATATGTATGTGCGTATGCGCGTATGTGTGTCTGTGAACACGATAACTTGAGTAACGTTACAGCTAGGTTGATGAAAATTCGTATATAAGTATTTAATCAAATTTTTAGGGGAGATCACTCCCGGTTTTTTTTTTCAATTCAGGAAAACGTAAACTAAAAATATTTATTTGTCCACTTTTATTTTGTTATTATCCTTTTAGAAAGGATAGTTAGTTGTTAAAGATGAAATGAAAACTTTTTTTTAAAAAGCTAGGTCTAAAGCTAACGAGTTTGTATCTTTGGATAATAAAAGATCTGTCATACAAACATTATAATCAGATAGAACACGTGACGTTAGGAGAAAATCTAAATCTGTAACTAGATGTCTAGTTTTTTCTTCTTCATAGGCCGTAGTCTCTATCATCATAGGCCGTAGTCTTTATAGCGTCATAGGCTGTAGTCTTTGTATCGCCATAGGCAGTAGTCTTTATGTCATCTCTCATCATAAACCGTAGTCTCCATGTCGCCTCTACATTCTATTACAAATTAACTTCAAGACGTAGGCGAATATTCAAAGACCATGTTAAGAAATTCTTAGACAGGAATTTTAGTTAATGAAGGGAGATAACTTGGTAGGTAACTCGAGGAACAAAAGTAGCTCATAAGACTTAATGAATAATGACTGTATTACACATGATATAGCTGTAGAATAGCCGTGTGTTGTTGATACTAAATTAACGACAGACGCTTGTAGAGTGGACACCCATGATCACGACATGCCTGTTGATTATGTTAATTTGGCTTGCATCAGAACATGACGCCTTGATGTTGTAGAACGGTAGTGCCAAAGTCTTTGTGTCCCTTAGTCCACCCACCTCTGATGGGTAGCTGACTCAGATTATGGAAAACAAAGGTAGTAAGGCTACACTATTCCTATAAATGCCGAGGTCATATGAAAAGAAGTATTTCATCTACCCTGAATGTCCATAGAGAAGTTGATGTCATCGGTTTTAAAAGTCTTTAAAAGTCAGGGCAATCTTCTACTTCGTCCTTAACTTTAGTGTTGGAAGAGACTCGAGGCTTTTCGGTTTAGCAACCATGAGCTTTACCGACTCGACCACGCCGACCCTCACTCAAATATTACATTGTCATGGATATGTTGATGTCATCGGTTTTAAAAGTCAGGGTAATCTCATGTCAGGGTATTTTTCTATTGTGTGGGGTACTTCTAATTTCAGTGAACAATAGCATCTTTAGTAAATAACCAACAGACAATGATATCATCTGGTAACCGGGTCTCATCTGGTGTTATAGAAGATTGCTGTCTGCTCGAGTTTGGCGGGACTTGCCTTCTGCTGCAACATAACTAATGTCTTCTCGTCGGTACAGTCAGTTCAACCTCCTCCCCCCCCCCCGCAGTCCAGACACACCCCACCACTTCCTCCCCACCCTCGGGTCTGCTAGGCAGGAACCAACTGCACTGCAGTGGCTTATTGAAAAACTGGGAGACAAATGGCACTTTACCCAACAGAGACATCACTGTTTTATAACATACTAAGTTTAGAAAGAGTGTACTCGCTGGCAACTGGGCTTGTTATATTGTTTAAATACAATAATCAGATAAAAAATATTAGGAAGTTTGTTTTCTATATTGCTATTGCGGTTTGTTTTCATAAATAGTTTTTTTTTTTAATAGAATATTAGAAAAACATTTTTTTTTAAATTCATGGCAAAAAATCCCAGAATTCCATTGGGTAAATAAGGACTGAAATAATTTGCCAGTATTGTTATAAAGCAGATGATTAGTTTTGTTGGTATTGGAGGAATCGATTTGTTCTAAATCTGCAGGGACGGAATTCGCTTTCCTACTTCTAATAATGGGCAAAAGATGAGGTCACAGGGCTCCAACTAGCAGGAACTAATCCAATTGGCGCGACCAAAAATAGGACAGTGCTGCTATTTTTAAACCACCTACAGGACCCTACCTTCTAATTTACAACCAGAGGCATTAGTCCTGTACTTATCTTTATACAACAAACATATTTAGAAAAAAATATAAATAACGAGCCGACCCGCGGCGTATCACACGCCGCTATTTAGTTTTATTTTCTACTTTTCAGTAATTCATAATTTGTGAATTCGACAGTACCAATGCTGTCACTGAAAATTTTTGCTTTAAAACACTAAAACCCTCCTCTCCCCACCCCCACGTGAAAGCAGCCTCCTCTGAGTTACCTCCCCTAAGTTTAAAATCGTTTCAAACTAAATTATCTGCCCCTAATAGGCGTCACTAAACCCGGCTCTACGATTGTAAAAATTTAGCGTGAACCACAGCTCACCAGACCATGTCTGGGTGGGGGTGGTTATGATATGCCTAGAGAGGAAGAGAGGGGACTGCTAGGCGCGCTTACAGCTTGGTGTTTTTTAACGTCTCCAAGAAGAGAATTATATATATAGAGAGGATTACAACCTCAGGCCACTGATCTTAAAAAGTTTATCTTTTTTTTCCCCAGATGGCGGCACAGAAGTAAGTCATGAAGCTGACTCTGTTTATTGATGCTCCACAAACTTTAAGCGTGTCTGACATAGTTTTGCTGACGTCATAGACTGATTCTGGAGTTTAGAAGAAAAAAATATGTTGAGACCAGGATTGTTATCTGGAGTTGGTTTGGTGACCAGTCTTGGGATCTGTATGTTACTGTGTGGGACTGATACAGGTTCGTAATGTATGTTGCTGTGTGGGACTGAGACAGGTTCGTAATGTATGTTGGTGTGTGGGACTGAGACAGGTTCGTAATGTATGTTGGTGTGTGGGACTGATACAGGTTCGTAATGTATGTTGCTGTGTGGGACTGATACAGGTTCGTAATGTATGTTGGTGTGTGGGACTGAGACAGGTTCGTAATGTATGTTGGTGTGTGGGACTGAGACAGGTTCGTAATGTATGTTGGTGTGTGGGACTGAGACAGGTTCGTAATGTATGTTGGTGTGTGGGACTGATACAGGTTCGTAATGTATGTTGGTGTGTGGGACTGAGACAGGTTCGTAATGTATGTTGGTGTGTGGGACTGAGACAGGTTCGTAATGTATGTTGGTGTGTGGGACTGAGACAGGTTCGTAATGTATGTTGGTGTGTGGGACTGAGACAGGTTCGTAATGTATGTTGGTGTGTGGGACTGAGACAGGTTCGTAATACATGTGTATGTTGGTGTGTGGGACTGAGACAGGTTCGTAATGTATGTTAAACATCTGTATGCTACTATATGGGTGTCACTCAATTATGTAATACTTCTGTATATTGGTGTGTGGGTGTACAGTTATAAAATACAATTGTATGTTATTATGTGGGTGTTACACTACTTTGTAACGTATATGTTGATGTGTTGTTCCTAACTCTACAGCGGCAATGTATTACCTAATGCCGCTATCTTTTCCTGAGTACATTTTATGTTTTGTTTCTGACATAGAACAGACCAATTACAAGCAAACAACTCTAGCGCTAAACCACACTATTAATCTAACCTTAACAAGTAGCTTCAGACTTTGGCTGAATATTTCAAATATTTTGAAAACTTTTGAAACTATTGAAACTTTAATTTGATCCACTGTTATTATTTTTATACAAAGGAATAGATACACAGTTGGTTTTATATTTCTTATCAAATTTCAGAATGTCAATAGTTTCATTTTACTTCAGATTTCAGAATGTCAGTCATTTAATATTATTTTAAATTTCGAAACAGTTTCAGGTTTATAATTTTAGTTTTTGGAGATATTTCGTCTTTTTTTGTCTATTCCACGGATCTATATTAAGCAATACCAACCTGAATTCTTTTTTTTTTCACACAAGCCTACACTTAACAATATCAACCTGAATTCTATTTTTTCCCCACCGGCCTAAACTTAACAATATCAACCTGAATTCTCGTTTTTTTTTCCTTGTGCTTACACTTAACAATATCAACCTGAATTCTCGATCCCCCCCGGCCTACACTTAGCAATATCAACCTGAATTTGACCCAACTATCATAAGTGGGAGAGCTACAAAGCTAAATATATTTAGGTCTCGGGAATTTCTTCGTAACATTATTTAAAGGAATTATACACAGCTTTCGTTTCATTACTTCTTGTAATTTTCTGCTAATGTAAGATCATTGAGATATCTCTTCTTATAAATAATGACATGAGATAGACATCCCCGCAGCTAACTGATGATAGAAGGTAAATTAGACATCCCCGTAGGTAACTGATGATATAAAGTAAATTAGATATCACTTCTTAGATTAAGCTGCCATTTTCTTCTAATTAAAATATTTGTTCTCGGCGGAGCTGACACACGTTACTCTAAACTGACCAGAATTTTAACAGTACATCTCACTTCTATAATATCTGCCCTTTTGGCCAAAATTTATACAATATCTGCCCGTTTGGCCATAATTTCTACAGTACCTGCCCGTTTGGCCATAATTTCTACAGTACCTGCCCGTTTGGCCAAAATTTATACAATATCTGCCCGTTTGCCCAAAATTTATACAATATCTGCCTGTTTGGCCATAATTTCTACAGTACCTCCCCAATTCACCAAGGAAAAATAAATCTAATACAGACTACCTCAATAATGTAAATACAACTGGCCTTTGTCCAGATTGAGACACTTAACTAATATTCGTTGTGAACATATTCCTGAGTATTCTTGCAATGTAGACCTCATAGTTCTTTGCTATTGATGTTTATGTTTTTTATAACAGACGCATATTGACCAAAGTCTAGTAGTCTCCCATAACTATTAGCCAGAATATATTATCATTATGTTGCTATATAATATTGACCCTACAGTTTGTAATGAGAATGTTATTATGTATTTTTCCACGATTTAATACAATGAAAATCACGAGAAAGTATCAATTATAAATCTGGTTAATTGATCCAAGAAGACTCCACTTTCTTTCGTTTTCTGGCCGTTGCAGCTGTATGTATGCAGACCACAATGCGAACGAGATGATTTTTATGGCAATATTATCGACCTGCCTCGACCAAACTGCAAGCCCGACATAAGGCGATAATCTTCTTTGTGTCATCCCCCCTCCCCCCTCCTCGCCGTACGCTCGTTGCGGGATGTGCTTGTCGAAGATAAAGGGGGATGAGTCTTATGAATAAAATATGTAATAATTCCCTCCCTTTGATTTGCAGCCGTATTTACAACGCGTCAGATTACTCAGATGTACCAGCATTGTAATTCTTGTAAAGGGAGATAAATTAAAGGAGCGTCAACGTTATAGTCAAAAAATGTTTTTTTAATTTATTTCCATTATTTTTGTCTTCTTTCGACAAGTTTTTATTTTAAAAATCAAGTATTAAACAAGCATTAATCGGAATGTTCCTCTGCTGGAGTTTTTCCTATTTTTGTTTTCCGAAGTAAGACCAAAATTCATCATTAGTTAAACATATTTTGTTGTAGTCAAACTGATTGATTCTAAAAAAAAAATATTGGTTTTCAAAAGAGCATATTCTGTAAAGAAGATAACAGATTTGCTTTATAAGAACCAAAGAACACATTTTATTTAGAAGATAACAGATTTGTTGTAGAAAAACCACTGTTCACATTTTATTTAAGCGATAAGATTGATTTAGAAAAACCTTGAGCTACAAGATAACATAACTCGCTTCATCTTGTAATCGATCTTAAATTTAACGTCCCGCTGATCTTTCAGGCGAAAAGCCAAAGTCATCTTATTCACATTTTTTCTATACCAGCACTTAATGATACAGCTTTTTAAGTTTAATTATTTTTCAAAATCTTAAACTGTGCAGCATTAACCATAAAATGTTGATAAGCTTAAATGTTTTTCTTTAACATTTTTCACAAATACTACCAAACCACCACTTAATCGTAGTTTGCTTGGAGTTTTAAACATTCTTTTAACTGTTCAACATTAACTGAAAAATGTTTATAAGCTTTAATGATATATTTTCTCATTAGTTTTTTTTACTAGAATCTATATTTCGACCGTAAATTTGTCCTCAAAAACAAGATTTTAGAGGTTGATTTTTTTTTAACGTCTTTCTCCAAAGAATTGTTTTGAAAATAGTGTTAATTTGTATATTCGATACCGGTCTAAATCACGCACCTTTATTCTGCATTAAACAAAACTCAAATTTTTTAAAATTATAGAATTTTTTTGTCATCAGAATTTTGTTTAACAAGTTTTCTTTTCCTTTCAGTGAGCTAAAAGATAATTCTACGTTTTGCAAAACTTCTCATATCTTATAGTCTTTCTTATTAAAGCGTATAACAACGGACTTCGAAAGTTTTGTAACATTAAAATTTTTAAACAAGCTGATTAAATAATTTAACACATAATAAAAACATTTCAGGAAAAGGTTCTTGAAATTAAACTGCTCTACGTAAAATAAATATTTACTCTAGTTGACTTTTTGAAACAATGCGTTGTAAAATATGAAGATACTTTGATTCTATATTCAAAGTTCACAAACATTAATTTCCCTAATTGAACTTTTAGAAGCATAAAAAAAAAACGTATTTATTGCAACAGTGTAACAGGCAGTAATGTATTTGTGCAGACCAAACAGAATATTTCTAATTGCTATTTTTTTGTCTTAGAGAACAATTTCCATTCGTTGTTTTTACACTCTCGCCTGATTGAAAGGTTTCTTTAATTATCGTTTCGGCTAACGACAGAAAATCACTCTTTACACAAGCAGTCACGCTATCCAACGCTGATTTCAACTGGTCAAGAATTCGGACAGTGTGACCTAACAGTTGGGACAACCTGGATATTTAAATCAGGCTAATGGATTCACGCTGGGATGGAGTGGTCGGATGGCAGATCGCACTGCTGCAAATCTTAAAGTCCCGAGTTCGAGTCCAGGGCTCGAATCTATAGAACTTCCGAGAGTCCACCCAGCTCTTAAGGCACCCGACTCACATTAGGGATACATAGACGGCTGAGCACAGTGCTGACCACACTATCCCCTGTATGCCGAGATCACTGAACCAGATGAACTCTACTTTATCTGCATCATGTGCCTCGGGATCGATGTGAAAAGAAAACAACTTGGTACTCTATAAAACTGTGAACTTATTTTTACTTTCTCGTATATACCAAGTATAGAGAAAGTCTTGCAATCGTGCACAAAAATCATATTAAATTTGGACAGTTTTCACCGTTTTACTCCTCAGTCCTTCATCACATCCGGGATGTAGAGGACTTATTTTAATCGGGCAAAAATTATAAATCTAGATATATCAAAATTTTGGCGTTTTATGCGTAATGGAGTCGGAAAAACTGGATTATCCAATTCTGTCCGTATGTCTGTGTGTCTGTGTGTAAACACGATAACTTGAATATCGTTATAGCTAGGTTGATGAAATTTCATATATAAGTTGTATATCAAAATCGTAGATCCATATAAACTTTTGAGCGATTTCCGATAACCGGAAGTGGTACTTTTTCTACTTTGAATTTTTCAAAAGCCTATAACTTGAGTACTATTTCAGATGGATAAATGAAATTTCACATGTAAGTAAAAGATCTAATTTTCTGCCTTTTATCAAACTTTGAGTAATTTTCGTTGACCGGAAGTAATAACTTTCGCTATTTCCGATTTCTCAAAAAACGCACGTGAATTTATAAAGTACTAATAATATCCCGCACTATTTTGTACATTTTATATGACGTTCACTTGGTGTGCACTTCTTTTTTTCTACGAGATTTTATTCTATTTTAAAAAGTTTAAGTATTTCAAATGGATTAAAAGTCATGTCTATATCCCGAGTTGCCATTCCCTGTTGTTTCATATAAGAATATTCGAGAAAGTTTAGGGGAGATCACTCCCGGTT